GTGGTTCTTGAAGTGGAACTCTCCGGTTTTGTAGTCCATGAGGTTCTCCACGTCGCCTGAGCTCTCACCTTCGCCAGCTGCTCCAGGGTGAGCGTAGTCTTCCTCCTCTTGGCCTTGCTCGAGAATGTTCGATAGGAGGATCAAAGTCGATGTTCTCCCTGACCGTGATGTAGGTCAAGGGGGTTTGGCAGGAAGAAACTCGCCAGCCCGATTGAACTGCCTATAGGCGAACTGATAGTTGTGGCGTCCGCTGATGGGTTGACCGCGAGGTAGGTGCTCTTGCGGAGGTACTGGATGTTTATCGCAGGATCGACCGGCTTCTCAAGCGTGATTCCCAGTTCATGAGGATCGGCGTTATGAGTCCTCCACAGCTCAGCTGACCACTGCTTGCCTTGTGCACTTTGTTGAGAGAGAGAGCATACTCCCTGTAGCTGAGGAAGCTCTTGAGAAGATACGTCGCCACGCTGTTCCCTGATCTGTCCCCGACCATCTCAGTTCCATCCGGTGTGTGAATCACCTTCTTCATCCCTTCATTTAGGAAGAAGAGCTCCTTTTCGGTGACACCAGTACATCGCGCCTCGCATAGATGGTGTGAGCGAGGGCCTTGTGGACGTATCGGAGCACGGGGTTCCTGATGTGTGTGCTCTTGGCAGTGCTAGCATGTACTCGCCAACTCCGATCATTGCCCAGAAGGCTTGAAGCTCCCAGTGGCGTTCCCGGCTCTGTTTCTCGCCCATCTTTGTGTTCAAAATGAAACACATCCTCCAGCTCTTGAAACTCATCCGGTACTTCCTCTTGTTGATTCGGAAGGAGAACCTTCCACTTCCATGACCCTCAGGCACGATCTCGTCAGGCTCGTAGAAGTTAACTCGGAGAGTGGAGAGGAACTCGATGGTTTCCTTCTGGTATGCAGGGTTGAGGGTTCATCATCAGCCTCGTAAGCTGCATCTCATCGAAGAGGTAGTGGCAATCCTGAGAGATCCCAGCTCCGCCATCGCGTCAGGTCAGGGTATCTCGTCCCGACGAAAGACATCTGGAAGATCTCGGCGTAGTCCTTGCTCTTCATGACCCGGATCCGCTTTTCCTACTGCCTGAGCCTTCCTCCGTCACCGGTTTCTTTCCTTCCGCCTTCTCCGCCGCGGCTCTCGAGAGAGTTCCTCTTGTTGTGGACACCATTGTTCCTGTGGAACAAACAAACTCACAAACAGAGTAAGTCTCTAGCCAAATAATGTCACTCGCAAGGCTTAGAGAAGAAACAGATCAAGCAAGTTGAGATTCGAGATAAAAAATCAAAGCTTTAGACAGATCTCAACTAAAAAGGTCGATTAAAACCGGCGGTGAACTCAAATCTCGGAAAAACAGAGACATGCAAAACAGTTTTCAAAAATCCAAACTCAAAATCTCTCTTTCAACCTAACCCGAAACAAATCTACCTCTACTAAGCGAAAATCAAAACCAAATCTAGCCAAAGTCGGAGAAATTACCGGTTGAGCGCAGAAAACGGTTTGAAAGTGAAGAAGAAAGAGCGAAATAGTAGAGAGAAAGATGGAGATTTTTCTTTTCACAAATCGGGAAAAAGGAGAAGTATGAAAGAGAGATGTTTGGCTTGTCTCGGTTTTGTAAAAGGTAAAGTAGGAGAGAGATGGGGTTGCGGAAAAATCGGAGGGGATTTGGATTAAAACCGCTGTCAAATCACAACTTCCCCAATTGACTACTTTCTCTCTCCCACGTTCCTTTTTCTCCTCTTTTCTTTTTCTTTTCAAACCGAGACAAAATTCCGAATAAAACTCGTAAAAACTGTTTTCTTGGGCCTTGTAAACAGGGATGGGCTTACCTGGCAACGATTTTTGAGAAAAACCTAAGTCTTTTCAAAAATCGTTGCATCGTTCTTCTTGATCAGTTTGCTCAAGCTTATCGTCAGCTGCTGACCTTCTTCATCTATACACCTGAGCACTTATAAAAGCTAAAACAAGAAAGATTAAGCAAAAATAAATATATACAAAGATAACCATGGGACTTCCTCCCAAGTGAGCTTGTTTTGAGTCCCATAGCTTGACTTTCATAACCTTTTAGGCTAAGGGGGCGTCCGGAAGAGGAGTTGAGACTCCTTCTCCTTGAATGCGTTGGCCCAAATATGGTTTGAGCTTGTGGCCGTTCACCGTGAACTCCTCGCCATTCTGGTTGAGCAAAGTGACAGCTCCATAAGGAAGGACTTCCTTAATCTCAAACGGGCCCGACCACTTGGACTTGAGCTTCCCAGGGAACAACTTAGCTCTTGAGTTGAAAAGCAGCGCATATTCTCCAACCTTGAAGACTTAGGCACAATTTTCTTGTCGTGAAATGCCTTAGTCCGTTCTTTGTAAATCTTGGAGCTCTCATATGCGTCCAGCCTGATCTCTTCCAACTCATGTAAGTCGAAACCCCTCTTCTCTTGGGCAGACCTGATGTCGAAGTTGAGCAGTTTGATTGCCCAAAGTGCTCTGTACTCAATCTCCACCGGAAGGTGACACGATTTCCCGTAAAGGAGCGAGAAAGGCGTCCTTCCTATTGGCGTCTTATAGGCGGTCCTGTAAGCCCAGAGAGCGTCGTCCAACTTAACTGCCCAGTCCTTCTTGGTCACTCCCACAATCGTCCTGAGGATCCCCTTTATCTGCTTGTTCGACACTTCCACTTGACCACTTGTCTGAGGATGGTATGGTGTCGCTACCTTATGCTTGACTCCATACTTCTTCCAAGTTCTCGAAGACTTTGTTGATAAAGTGGCTTCCTCCATCGCTTATTACAACCCTTGGCACTCCATATCTCGGGAAGATGATGCTTTTGAACAGCTTGAGCACAACCTTGGCATCGTTCGTTGGGGAAGCGATTGCCTCGACCCACTTGGACACATAGTCAACCGCCACAGGATGTATCTATTCCCGTGAGAAGGTGGCTCGAAAGGGCCCATGAAGTCGATGCCCCATACATCAAACACTTCCACCTCAAGTATCGGGTTTTGTGGCATTTCATTGCGCTTGGAAATGCTCCCTTCTCGTTGGCATCTATCACACCTTGCAATGAAGTCGTGAGTGTCTTTGAAAAGGCTTGGCCACCAGAATCCGGCTTGAAGTAAATGATAGGATGGTACACTAACAACCTAATGAAACAGTAAAGCAATGCAGTAAGTAAATAAAGCAGTAGAGCAACAGCTCGACCAAGGACTCGAGTCGAGTGGAACAGAGTACGAGCTCGATCGAGTTTAGGGTCGAGTTGAAGTAAAAAGCAATAAAGGTAGCGACTTTAACAAGCTAATGCGAGAATTAGGGTTCAAGACAGGGTTTTTCAACCAGGGGAAACTACACTTAATCGATCATGCTCTTAAAACTCCTTGTACAAGGCTTCTCTTGATATTGGGCTTCTCAATGCCTAGCTAACCCTTTCCCAAGGTGGAAGCTATCAACCAAGGAATGATCTCAGAAACAGGGGGTTAGCCAGTGAGAATCAAACCTTGGAGGCCATAGGATCATTGCCCAAACTAATCCATCCAACCCCTATGAACTCCATTTCGAGAGCAAGAGTTGTTGGAGCTCTTAGTGGATATTTTCCAGCGATTTCCATCACTTCCATGTGGAGAATCGCCTAAGGACATACAAGCCAGGGGTAGTGGTCATGTAGCCTTAAGATTATCCAAAAGAGAGAGAATCTAGATTAAGACCATAAGCTAAGAAGGATTAAGCATATGAAACCTCTAATCTATCCCATCTCAAACCCTAATGGGAACTACTCACTACACATGAATGTAAACACAAGCAAATGCAATTGAAATAAACATCAAAGAAAGAGGAGATAAAGATGAACAACTTTTATTGAAATAAGCAAGTGCAAATACAAAGAATAATCCAGATCTAGGATTCAAGAAGCAAGAGCTTCAAGAACACAAAGATTGGATTAGAGTTGCTAAAAAGTAAAGAAAAGGATGGTCGAGCTGGTGATCGAATTGGTCTTCAAGATAGTGATGTACTTGCATTTTGCATGTTTTAGTACATCTTTTATGCATCTTTTGCATAGTTTTAGCATCCATTTAGCATCATATCTTGTTCCTTTTCTCTTCTTATGCATTCATAGTAGTTTTAGGTTGCATTTGCATACATATGCATGTTTGGTCCTTTGAAATAGGTCTTTTGGAGCATTCTGGAGCATATGGGACGTGAGGAGCATGGAAGGACTTGGCATGGACGCAGCTCAACTGGATACGCAAAGGAAGAAGGAGGAAGCCATCTTGAAGACCAGCTCGACCTACTCGACCAACCGGTCGAGTTCCTCAACTCGACCGGCCAAGCTTCAACTCGATCGAGCTGGAAGTCAAAGTCAAACCCGAAAAATGTTGCTTCCCCCTTGACTTCCTTTGACCCTAAACCTAATCCTCTTTGTATTTAAAGGCTCTAAGCCACGAAAAAACCACCAAGCTTTAGATTACTTTTGTTTTAGCTTCTTTTAATTATTGTCTTTTACTTTTTAGAGCTCTAATCCCATCTTTGTGTTCTTGAAGCTCTTGCTTCTTGAATCCTAGATCCTGGATATCTCTTTTGTATTTGCACTTGCTTATTTCAATAAAAGTTGTTTATCTTTATCTCCTCTTTCTTTGATGTCTTTCATTGCATTTGCTTGTGTTTACATTCATGTGTAGTGAGTAGTTACCCATTAGGGTTTGAGATGGGATAGATTAGGGTTTTATGCTTAATCCTTCTTGCTTATGTCTTAATCTAGATCTCTCTCTTTTGGAAACTTAAGGCTACATGACCACTACCCCTGGCTTGTATGTCCATTAGGCGATTCTCCACATGGAAGTGATGGAAATCGCTTGGAAAAGGTCCACTAAGAGCTCCAATAACTCTTGCTCTCGAAATGAGGTCTAGGGGTTGGATGGATTAGTTTGGCAATGATCCTATGGCCTCCAAGGCTTGATTCTCACTGGCTAACCCCCTGTTTCTGAGATCATTCCTTGGTTGATAGCTTCACCTTGGGAAAGGGTTAGCTAGGCATTGAGAAGCTCAATATCAAGAGAACCTTGATACAAGGAGTTTTAAGAGCAAGATTGATTAAGTATAGCTTCCTCTGATTGTTAAACCCTGTCTTAGACCCTAATTCTCGCTTTAGCTTGTTAAAGTCGCTGCCTTTATCGCTTTTTACTTCAACTCGACCCTAAACTCGATCGAGCTCGGTACTCTGTTCCACTCGACTCGAGTCCTTGGTCGAGCTGCTGCTCTACTGCTTTATTTACTTACTGCATTTCATTATGTTTCATTAGGTTGTTAGTGTTACCCCATATCATTTACTGCTTGCTTGACTTCCTTGTTGTTTCATATTCTCATAGAGTGACAACTTCCCCATTTTGGATTGATAACCCTTTATGCTATAATGACTATGATGGTTAAAGGGAATTGTTGACTGTGTTGTGTTTGCATCTTACCACCTCATCATATACCACTGTTGCATTCCACCACATTCATTTCATATCTTTCACACCACACACAAATCCTATCATCAATTTGGCGCCGTTGCCGATTTGGGTTATTTTGTTGCATTTGAGTTTCAAATACACTTGGACGATCAAGCTATACCACCCCTGTTCTTTGTACTGCTGGGTTTTTGTCTCTTTTTGCAGGTGTATGCGAACTCGATCGAGTCGGTCTACAGAAGACTTGGTCGAGCTAGACTTTACAACGGGTAGAAAGAGTTCAGAGGTCACAGAGGGTACAAGAGGAACCTGAGGTGCTTGTTACTGATACAATGGATGTACCAGAGGGGAATGGAAACCCTTTGGGCAATGGACTCGGTCGAGCTAGGCAAACTCGACCGATTGGTCTAGGAGATGCTCCAAACCGCCACCAACAGAGACAAGGGATTGTTCCACCACCAGTGCAGAACCACAACTTTGAGATCAAGCTGGGAATGATCAACCTTGTTCAGAACAAGATGTTCCATGGATTGCCAAGTGAAGACCCCATTGACCACCTTTGTAACATCCCGGTTTGTAATAAATGAAGAGAGGCTTAAGAGAATTGATTTGGCTACCTATGTCAACAAAGTGCACTTACCTTTTCGGTCAAAGGTCTATAAGTAACTCCAGTTAAGCGTGCTTGTGCTGGAGTAGTTGAAGGATGGGTGACCTTTCGGGAAGTGGTTTCCGAACCGTGTGAGTGAGGCCAAAAACACGGGGAAAGGTCAGGTGTTGATTGCAGGGATAGTAAACAAATCATTAGAGCCTCTCGAAAATAACGGACCGGCCGTCGGACAGGGGTGAGGCCCACGGGCCGAGATGGGCCTGCGGGTCCAGAGAGAGGGCGTGGGTGACTCACCGGGAGGGACGGTTGGGGCGTTATAATTTGGTATCAGAGCCAAACCCAGACGAGAGTGTGGAGTCAAGTTGAAGTGGCCTTGACTCACACCGTCAGGGGGTGACGATCGAGGTGCGCAACGTCCTCGTTGCGCATAGTGAGTGGGGGTGAGTTGTAACATCCCGGTTTTTGATAAATGAAGAGAGGACTAAGAGAATTGATTTGGCTACCTATGTCAACAAAGTGCACTTACCTTTTCGGTCAAAGGTCTATAAGTAACTCCAGTTAAGCGTGCTTGTGCTGGAGTAGTTGAAGTATGGGTGACCTTTCGAGAAGTGGTTTCCGAACCGTGTGAGTGAGGCCAAAAACACGGGGAAAGGTCAGGTGTTGATTGCACGGATAGTAAAAAAATCATTAGAGCCTCTCGAAAATAACGGACCGGCCGTCGGACAGGGGTGAGGCCCACGGGCCGAGATGGGCCTGCGGGTCCAGAGAGAGGGCGTGGGTGACTCACCGGGAGGGACGGTCGGGGCGTTATAACCTTGATGAGTTTGATAGGCTTTGTGATTTGACAAAGATCAATGGTGTCTCTGAAGATGCCATCAAGCTGAGACTCTTTCCTATGTCTCTAGCTGACAAAGCTCACCAATGGGAGAAGAGCTTGCCCCATGGCACAATCACCACTTGGGATGAATGCAAGAAGGCCTTTCTTGCTAAATTTTTCTCCACCGGTCGCACAGCCAAGCTTAGAGGAGAGATATCCAGCTTCATCCAGCGAAACAATGAGACATTCGCAGAGGCTTGGGAGAGGTTCAAAGGGCTACACAAGTCAGTGCCCACACCATGGATTCAACAATGAATCCTACTCTCCACTCTTTATAGAGGATGCTTGCCTAGGTATAGGGAGATGCTAGACACAGCTAGCAATGGGAACTTCCTCAACCAGGATGTAGATGATGGCTGGCAACTTGTGGAGAACATAGCTAACTCAAATGGAAGCTATGGAGAAGAGTATGATCGCACCAACCGGAGCTCGACCCACCACTCGATCGAGTCAGACGAAAAGTTGAGAAAAGATGTTAAGGCATTGAATGAGAAGTTGGATAAGCTGATCCTAGCTCAGTCCACAATGAAGAAAGTCAACTTTGTGTCTGCTGAGGAGATGGAACCAGTCCAAGAAGGGGAGGATACACAATTTGCTGAGGTGTGCTACATGAGCAATGGGCAAGGAGGTTACAACAAAGGATACTATAATTACAAGTCCAACCCTGCCATGTCATACCGCAACACTGATGTTGCTAACCCTCAGGACCAAGTCTATCCTCAACAACAAGCAGCTCGATCGAGTCAAGCCACAACATGGGTATGGTCAAAAGAACAATTACCAAGGACCCAAGGGACTTTCCCTGGACAACAAATGAATATCCACCAGGCTTTCCCCACCAACCACCCCAGCCTGCACCTACAAGAGAATGAGCTCAAAGCAATGCTAAACAACTACTTCAAGGGCAAGCTGATGGGGTAGTGGACACAAGCAAGAAGCTAGCTGAAATAAACTCCAAGATCGAGAACTCAACACAAGGGTTTACTCTCTGGAGAATCATGCTTCTTCTGTTGCTGCTGCTACAAAGCAAGGACAACTACCTGGTAAAGCTATTCAGAACCCCAAGGAACAGTGCAAGGTCATCTTCACTCAAGAAGGACTTGTTGAAGAAGAGGATCAAGAAAGGGTCATTGAAGATTTTTGTTTACTGCTGAATGATGATGAGATTGTTGCTGCTGAGGCTCCTGGAGTCCAGATTGATCAACCAGAAGTGCAGGCACCTACTGTGGCCATTCACACTTCACCAGTTGAGCTCGCACAACAAGCTCGATCGGCAGTCGAAATCTAGCTCGATCGAGTCCGACCTCATCTGTCCCAAGCCGATTTTGCTTGATCCTTACCAACCGGTTGCCTTCCTCGTCTCGCCTACTTAGTCAAGGTCACAAGGAAGTGATTCACAAGTTCAGAAGAGATCTCAGTGGGATTGGAATTGAGTTGCCTCCTATGGATAGCATGAGTGAGGCATTTGATCAAATGCAAATGGTCAAGGATGTTATGCCAACAGTGATAAAGTTTCAGAGGTCCTACAAGAGTCTACTCATCAGTTCAACCTGCTTACTTCACCCACTTCCTACCAAAGGTGAAAAATTGATGCGGAGTCAGGTTTTACCAAACTCCTAGACCTCTGCAAGTGCACAGATCGCGGAAGTATGGGTATCGAACACAAGGACTGGCTATTGAGTACACTTTGTAACTATGGATTTTGGATCAAGCTAAAACAAAAGTATGATTGAGGTTGTAATGGTGAACCGAACTAGCAAGTAAACGAGGTTGTAAATCAATAAAGGAAAAGCGCTAGGTCATAGGGGCTATCGCAGAGAAGCAAGCAATGATCAATGAAACAATGATAGATTAATTGATTAGGGATATTGGGATATTAAGAACCATCTAGAACACAGATCACGAATATAAAACCATTCCACTTTCGAGGCTCCGGCTCCTTTGCTAATCTACCTAGTCGCTAAACTTTTGGTATGTCCCTAGGTGATTAGATCAAGCATTAGAATGAATAGGTTCTGATACAGTTCACTAGATATAGATAGATCAACTTTCGCAGTCTAAGAAACCTAGCTTGTCAAAGAATATGTCCGGCGAATGATACAGCACTGTCGAGGCTCAAATCAACCTAAGATCGGATTACTAGATGCGCGGTAAAGCAATCAGCATTAGTTAAGTGCACAAGACGAGACAAAGACTCTAATATAATCCCTAGCTAATCATTGAAATCAAAGATCATGCAAGCAACTCATTGAATAGTAACCCTAGCAACCTAACTAGTGGATTACTCAGACATGATCAAAGCAAACACACATAGAGATGAAGAAAACATGATTGCAATAAAACTTAGAGTAGGAAATCGAAATACAAGGGCGGCTCTCTTTCTCAAGAGGCTAAAAATCCATATATATAGTGCTAGGTCTTTCTAGAGGCGGCTAGGGTTAAGCCGGGCTTGAAAACATAAGTTTGGGCTTCAAAAGGGCTTCGGGTCGACCGCGGCGTTGGGACGGTCGTCGGGACGATCGGCCGGACATCGGGTCGTGGCCGAGTCGGAACGGTCGGGGCCGGACGGATTCGCGGTCGGCCGGCGTGGTCGGACGGATGAGATTTGGCCGATGAAATTCTCGGCCGGACGTGGGTGTTCTTCCCGGCTCGGACGGATGCATCGGCCGTGGTACGCGAGAGGGTTGCGCGGCCGCGAGGCTTGTTTCCCGGCTCGCGCGCTTTGGTCGTGCGCGGTGTGGCGTGACGTTTGGCTTGGCCGACCGCGGGACAATGTTTCCCGGGTCGTGATGCGTGATCGGCCGAGTGGTTTGGACTTTGGCCGAGACTTCAGACGGACGGTTTTGGCCGAGCGCGGAACATTCGTTCCTCGGCCAGCCGGACTGCGCGGTTGGGCGCTGATTCTCGATAGAGCCGTCTGGACAGTCTTCACTCTTTTGGTTATAACTCCTTTTCTACTCATCCAAATGAGGCCATTCCAGTTGCGTTGGAAAGTTAACTCAATCAGAGCACGCAGGGAACTGGTCTTGATGAAATCCATTGAGTAGATCTTTTTCTGGGCCCTCTTAAAGTTGGTGCTTGTGCATGGAGCGGCTTGAAGTGCAAATCCTATGGTTTTGCTCCAAAATGCATCATTTCACCTGTTTAGACTCTAGACACTATAAACACAGTAAAACTACCTTTTTAGATAGAAAACCTGCCAAAAACCATTAGAAAACAATGCTAAAACAGTATAAAAAGTGGGTAAATTAGAGGTATATCAACTCCCCCAGACTTAGATCTTTGCTTGTCCTCAAGCAAAAAGAATCTAAATCCGTGAAAGAGGTTTGAAAACGTGGAAGCTCCCTTGCTCTTTTGAATATCCTGTGAAAGGTTCCTTTCCTGTATTCCACTATGAACATAGACAACATAAGGTTAGCTTCACATACACCCTGCAAGTTTAGCGAACAATACCAACCCAACTAGTCTCATCCAGCAATCCAAACTCTCTATTGCTAACCTCTTGCATAAATTTAAAGCGTGAATTCTTTATCAAGGGGACATCGATCAATTGAACTTGTTCTTACCCACTTGATCCTCTCCAAGATTGCCTCTTTAAGTGCAATGAGTTCTTTTCCTCTCTCTTTCTCACATCAGAACTTTGAAAGGTCAATTTCTCCCTACTTTTCTAGGGTATCATTTTATTTTTTCTATTGACCCTTCTTTCAACCACAGGATAAGTCTTTAGCTTGTTCCTTGTTTGACTAAGGTATTCCATAAGACATGAAGGTACAGACATATGCATTCCTCATGCTTACTTGTTTCCTTGTGCTCTTTGAGCTTTTTCTCATATATTACTTACCATTTGGGATGGGAGAGAGAGGAGAACTCTTTAAAGATTAGACAAATCTTATTGAAAATCAAGCAAGGAACTGTCGACATGTATGCCAACCCCCTTGACAAGAGTAATTAAGATTGATTAAGGTGAGGTTAACTCTAGATTGCTTGGTTACCTTAGAAATTTTGCTGAGCTAGCATGTCGATCCACTGTAAGAGCTTCTGTTAGGCTTGTGCCTTTAGCTGGTTTCTGCTCTAGGGTCATGGATTGTTAGCATAACACTCTCAATTCTCAAAGCAAGTTCATAACTTCCGGACTGGTTTTTGACTCAATAAAACTTTTTGAAAAACATGAAACAAAGTGAATAAAACATAAGAAAAGAAAGAAAAATGCATTAGTAACACAATAAAACTCCCCCCAGACTTAACTTGCACCGTCCCGGTGAAAGCAAATCACATTAAGGTGAGAGGTAATATTCAAAGTAAAAGAAAAATAAAGAAAAATTCATTAAAATGAGATAGGGATAGAAAATGGAGATTTGTAAGTGTCCATTGCACTAAGTACCACTTGAGATGACTATGTGTGGCAGTGAGAAGAACTCTCTTCCTCATCTATGGGGTCATCGCCTTCTGAACCAAGCTCTGAGTCTAGTGAGAACTCACCAAGGTCAGGCTCATATGGCTCTCTAGCGGTGGAAGAAGGGCGAAAGAGTCTCTCCGGTGCAATGTGGCGAACTACGCGGACTAGGCGTGAGATGAAGCGAGATTGGCATTCCACTATCTTCTCCAGCTTGTTAACACGGTCTAGAGCTTGGTGCGCGCCATGCCAGTAGTGAGAACATGGCGTTCTTGGAGGCGGCGTTGAGTCTTGACTGCATGCTGAAGTGTGCGATAGGTGAGCATGGGGAATGATGGTTTCTCACTTGATGGAACATAGAATCTTCCTCATTGGGCTGGAAAGTGACAACTCCTGAGCGTAGGCTTGGGATGTCTTCATGTGGCAGCAAGACAAGGGAAGTGTTGGCTGGACCAATTGGAAACTCATAGCAAAACCGAGTTGGGTCTTTAGTCCAACGGTTTAGGAAGTGGATGTGCTGAAGAGCATGGAGATCCAAAGGGGTTGGCTTGGGTAGTGGCTCATAGTTGGGAATGTCAATCCCCACATGCAGTACTATGGCCGTGATAAGCCTCCCAAAACGAACACAAAGCTTCTTGTTGCCTTCCAAGTCTTTAGCTAGCTTCCTCACATTGATGAATGTCTTGGCAAGTAAAAGTCCAAGGTTGGCCTTGTACTCATGCTTGATGAATGGTGTGGTGAGGATGTAGAACTCATCAGTTGTGACCTTGTTGGCTTCTTGTTTGCATTGGAAAGTGGTGGAGATGAGGCGGTGCACATAGCGAATGGCTGGATGAGTGATTCTAGACACCTTTGACCTTGAAGGCAAGAATGGTTCATTGGCAAAGTGTGTCCAATCAGCAAAGGCAGCTTGTTTCCTCTTTGAGTTCTCCTTGAAGTCATGTGCTGTCTCATTGGGAAGTCCAAAGAGTTGGCATAGAGCTGAGATGGAGATGCGCCCATTGGCATCGCCTATCTTGAAGAGTAGGAGTCCATCACCAGCTGGTTGGTCTCCATTGTGGTTGGGAAAGGCAAGAGCTACTGTGGAGAGGAACTCCTTGGTGAGTTGTGAGTACTCACTACATTCTAGCTTGAAGAGCTTGCTCAAGCCTAGCTTCCTTATGTACCATGTGACATCATCTCTTATCTTGAGAAGATCAAGGGTTTGGGTGTCCATCTTCACACATGGCTCGATGTTCACCTTCTCCATTGCCTTCTTACACTTTCTTGGGTCTTGATTTTGTTCTCCAACAAAGGTTACAAGTGCCCAATCATCTTCTCTCTCTTGGACTCTCCACATGTTCTTGACTTGCATCAATGGAATGTGGTGAAGTTGGTATTGCTGCTCTTGCATTGGAGCTACTACTCCCTAGCTTGATTTGCTTCTTTGGTGGTTCCATGAATGGGTTCTTCTTCTTCTTCATACTCTCATTTCCTTTTGTCTTTGCCATTGGTGTACCTACAAGAGCAAATTCTTGGGAAGAAATATGAGTTTGTGATTAATGCAAAAGAAGAATAAGCTAATTGAGTTGTAATAATGATATGGAATAATGGAACAACTCAAGGCTTAATCATGAATCAAAGAGACAAAATAGAAATTTCACTTTTTCAAAATTAATTTTCGGATTTTACTGTTCATCCCAAGATTATGGTGCTTAAAATCAAAATTTTCAGCAAATCAAGAGAAATTGAGTTTCTAATCCAAGTAATCACTAGATAAACTAATGAATTGAAGTATGCCCAAGCAATTTCACCTTTGAATAAGGGGTTTGGAATGCCCAATAAGTTTTGTGAAAAACTATTCAATTGTGAAATTAAACTTCAAATTAACTCTAAACCACCTAGGTTCCACCTAGCTAAGTTCATTACAAGACTATAAGGATGCTAATTTCAAGTCTAGACAAGAGTTTAGACCAAACATGAAACTTATTAAGATTTTCGATCTTGCATAAACATAGGATTAGAGTTAGAAGACATACCTTGTGTGTTGAAAAGTGAATAAGGTTGCAAGAGCAAGTAAATTCCAATTTAGAGTTATGAACAGTAAAAGTTTTGAAATCAAAACTCTTAGAGTTCCTCTAATGGAGTTTAGGGTTTTGGAGAAGAAAGAGAGGTTCTTGTGGTTTTCAAGGGAAAGGTGAAGTAAATAAGATCTAAATCCTATCAATTTTCCTTTTCAAATTCGAATTTTGATTGAAAACCGGTTTAAGTTGGTTTAGATTGGTTAAAACCGGTTTGAATTTAATGAAAAGGGGACTTACCTTGGCCTAGAAAAGTTTTGGGCCGATGGCCGATGGATTTTGTCGCGGTCGAGCGATTTGGTCGGCCAAATTCGTTTTGGCCGAGAGAATTTCGGCCGAGGCCGATCGTTTGTTTCCCGGATCGACCGGCACGGTCGGTCCGTTCCGATACGAAAATCGGCCGATCGCGGCCTTTCTTTCCCGGTTCGTGCGTGCGCGCGAACGTTTTCTGTCGCGCAATAGAATCCGGCCGAGCACGGCTATTCCTTCCCGGCTCGACCGTAACGGTCGGCCAGATGAGAATTGCTCGGCCAAAATTACTTTTGCGCGTCCGCGGCCAATGTTTTGGCGCGGATTGTGTTTTCACACCTTTTTCTCCTTCTATCCTATCTTAAAACAAAGAAAACACAAAAGCAAAACAAAAACTAAGAAAATTAAAGAAAGAAAAGTAAAAGTACCTCATGGGTTGCCTCCCATGCAGCGCTTGTTTTAAGTCTTTAGCTTGACTGTAAGGCTTGGCGCTCAGGAGAAGATGGAGACAAGAGGCATCCTTGATCCTCCAAGTCTTTTCTCCTTGCAATGAGTATCTGGTGGGTGATTCACAGCTGGATAGACAATCTCTCCATGAATGTCCCTTGGCACTACTGCCTTAGGAAAAAGCTTTAGAGTTCTTGTCACTCTCTCCTTGAATCCTTCTAGATTCTCATCAATAAGCTCCTTGGGAATAGAAGCTTCATGTTGCGGCCAGACCTAGGTTTTCTAACCTTCCTTCTTGGCTTGGCCTCATCTTCAATCTTGGTTGATCCCTTGGGCGGTTTTGGTGTAGGGGCCTTAGTCTTACTCCTTGCTTGTTTGGCAAGCTGCTTGGGCTTAGGAATGGGATCTTCCTTGATTGTTTCTTCAGTTTCTCCTTCTTGGGGTGGCTTCAAAGTAGCTTTCTCCTCTTGGACCATGTCAACAAAAGAGTTCTTTGTTGAACACATAGGGAAGAACATACCCTTGTTCACCTTGTTGAAAGAGATTCTTTGATTGGGGAAATCAAATATGGCACCCACAGTAGACAGGAAAGGGGTTCCAAATATGAGAGGTCTATGGCTACTCTCTCTCATTTCCACAATCTGGAAATCAGTAGGGATAGAGCAATTTCCAATCTGCACCATCACATTAGGCACAAAGCCATAGGGCATAGTTTGATGGAGAATGAGGCCTATCAGCTATCCTCTTAGACATGATGTTCACATGATTGCTCAAGAATGTTACCTTTGATGATGGCAAACTTTCCTAGTCTGTCTTGGGGATAATCTTTGGGAAGAGTCTTCTCTTTCTAGCTCGATTGGACTCTCTCTCTGGGTAATTCTCTTCAGGCCAAATCATGCAATCAACAGTAGGTTTTGAAAGCATCCATTCTGGAACTTGGTCTTCAAATCTTTCTTCTATGGCGGCTGAGTTGCAAAAGGACTTCTTGGATTCAGCTTCCTGTCTCTTAACAGCTTCCATAGTTTGAGTGACTTGAGTCTCTAGTTTCTTCACATGAGTGGCAACAGCATCATACTTGGTGTTGAGATTGCTGAACAAAGTGTCCATCTTCTCATACATCTCTTTAGTGTTTCTCTTCTGGCCATCCATGATCTGTTGGAGGATTCCTTCAAATCTCCCACCTTGTTGGTTTGGAGGAGCTTGATTTGGTGAAGAAGCATATGGCTCCTTGGGCGGATATGATGATCTCTGCTCATATCCTTGCCTTGGCTGAAATTGACTTCCTTGAGATTGGTAAGGAGGTCTTTGTTGTTGTGGATACCTTGGAGGATACACTTGGTCTTGAGGATTCTCCACATTGGGGTTTCTATAAGACATGTTGGGGTTTGGGCGATAGCTTGGATTGTATCCCTTGTTCCCATAGTTTCCAATGTAGTTCACATCTTCTTCATTGGCTTCATTAGAGAAATCTCCCATGCATTCTCTTGATGAATCTTCATTAGCATCACTCATCCCTTCTATTGCATTGATATGCTTGAGCTGTCCCTTAAGAACTTGAGCCATCATGTTCTTGAGTTCAGTCATTTGAAAAGAATCAGGGGAGCTAGTAGTGGTGCGGCTTGAGCGGTCATAATCAGGACAGTTGTTACAATCACTAGCTGCAAGATTCTCAATAAGAACCTTAGCTTCATCAACAGTCTTGGTCATGAAGTTTCCATTGCTTGCTGTGTCCAATGAAAGCTTGTACTTGTGGTCTATGCCACGATAGAAGATGTTCCATAGGTTTCCCTCATTGAAACCATGATTAGGGCAGTCCCTAATGTACTCCTTGAATCGATCTAGCGCCTCATAGAAAGACTCATTGTTGCCTTGGCGAAAAGTGGAGATCTTGTTTCTCACAGAAATTGATCTCTGTTGGTGTAGAAGTGGTTGATGAATGCAGCCTTGTACTCATCCCAAGTGGTGATGGAGTGAGCTGGCAGAGACTTCAACCATCTTGAAGCTTTGTCGCCAAGAGAGAATGAAAAGAGCTTGCACTTAAGGTAGTCAGCAGAGACTCCATTGGATCTTGTAGTGCTGCAAATTTCTTCAAAGTTTTCTATGTGATCAAGAGGGTGCTCAGCTGGAAGTCCATTGAATTGGTTCTGTCTAACCAATGCAATGATCTGAGGCTTGATCTCATAGTCATTCCTTGCAGGTGGTGGTGGATGGATAGGGTTTCTATCCATGAAGAAAGCATCGGCAGAGTCATAGTCTCCGATTGTAGGTGCTCCAGCTTGGGGTTGTGCGTTCACATCTCCAGCAGGGTTAGGAGGAGGAGGAGGTGGATCTCTTCCTTCTTCTTGAGCGCGCGCCACTTCAGCGGCGTGAGCGCGAGCTGCTTCGTCGGCCATCTCTTGGGCTTTCTGCTTCCTAAGTTGCTTCTCAAGCTTGTCTATCTCTGGATGTTCAACTAGGTTGTCCTTGTTGGACCTCCTAGTCATGCACCTGAAAAGAGTCTTGGAAACAAGTTAAACTAAAAGGGAAAAACAAAAACAAAAGTAAAAATCAAAGAAAAGGAAATCAAAAACTGAAAATTCAAAAGCAAAAGAAAAGTAAAACAGGAAAAGGTTCTAGACTAGATCCTAGTCGAGTTCCAAAGGTACTGCTGCAGTCCCCGGCAACGGCGCCAAAAACTTGATGCGGAGTCAGGTTTTACCAAACTCCTAGACCTCTGCAAGTGCACAGATCGCGGAAGTATGGGTATCGAACACAAGGACTGGCTATTGAGTACACTTTGTAACTATGGATTTTGGATCAAGCTAAAACAAAAGTATGATTGAGGTTGTAATGGTGAACCGAACTAGCAAGTATAACGAGGTTGTAAACAATAAAGGAAAAGCGCTAGGTCATAGGGGCTATCGCAGAGAAGCAAGCAATGATCAATGAAACAATGATAGATTAATTGATTAGGGATATTGGGATATTAAGAACCATCTAGAACACAGATCACGAATATAAAACCATTCCACTTTCGAGGCTCCGGCTCCTTTGCTAATCTACCTAGTCGCTAAACTTTTGGTATGTCCCTAGGTGATTAAGATCAAGCATTAGAATGAATAGGTTCTGATACAGTTCACTAGATATAGATAGATCAACTTTCGCAGTCTAAGAAACCTAGCTTGTCAAAGAATATGTCCGGCGAATGATACAGCACTGTCGAGGCTCAAATCAACCTAAGATCGGATTACTAGATGCGCGGTAAAGCAATCAGCATTAGTTAAGTGCACAAGACGAGACAAAGACTCTAATATAATCCCTAGCTAATCATTGAAATCAAAGATCATGCAAGCAACTCATTGAATAGTAACCCTAGCAACCTAACTAGTGGATTACTCAGACATGATCAAAGCAAACACACATAGAGATGAAGAAAACATGATTGCAATAAAACTTAGAGTAGGAAATCGAAATACAAGGGCGGCTCTCTTTCTCAAGAGGCTAAAAATCCATATATATAGTGCTAGGTCTTTCTAGAGGCGGCTTAGGGTTAAGCCGGGCTTGAAAACATAAGTTTGGGCTTCAAAAGGGCTTCGGGTCGACCGCGGCGTTGGGACGGTCGTGCGGGACGATCGGCCGGACAATCGGGTCGTGGCCGAGTCGGAACGGTCGGGGTCGGACGGATTCACGGTCGGCCGGCGTGGTCGGAGCGGATGAGATTTGGCCGATGGTTTCTCGGCCGGACGTGGGACGTTCTTCCCGGCTCGGACGGATGCATCGGCCGTGGTACGCGAAGGGTTGCGCGGCCGCGAGGCTTGTTTCCCGGCTCGCGCGCTTTGGTCGTGCGCGGTGTGGCGTGACGTTGGCTTGGCCGACCGCGGGACAATGTTTCCCGGGTCGTGATGCGTGATCGGCCGAGTGGTTTGGACTTTGGCCGAGACTTCAGTCGGACATACGGTTTGGCCGAGCGCGGAACATCGTTCCTCGGCCAGCGGTTGGGCGCTGATTCTCGATAGAGCCGTCTGGACAGTCTTCACTCTTTTGGTTATAACTCCTTTTCTACTCATCCAAATGAGGCCATTCCAGTTGCGTTGGAAAGTTAACTCAATCAGAGCACGCAGGGAACTGGTCTTGATGAAATCCATTGAGTAGATCTTTTTCTGGGCCCTCTTAAAGTTGGTGCTTGTGCATGGAGCTGCTTGAAGTGCAAATCCTATGGTTTTGCTCCAAAATGCATCATTTCACCTGTTTAGACTCTAGACACTATAAACACAGTAAAACTACCTTTTTAGATAGAAAACCTGCCAAAAACCATTAGAAAACAATGCTAAAACAGTATAAAAAGTGGGTAAATTAGAGGTATATCAACTCCCCCAGACTTAGATCTTTGCTTGTCCCCAAGCAAAAAGAATCTAAATCCGTGAAAGAGGTTTGAAAACGTGGAAACTCCCTTGCTCTTTTGAATATCCTGTGAAAGGTTCCTTTCCTGTATTCCACTATGAACATAGACAACATAAGGTTAGCTTCACATACACCCTGCAAGTTTAGCGAACAATACCAACCCAACTAGTCTCATCCAGCAATCCAAACTCTCTATTGCTAACCTCTTGCATAAATTTAAAGCGTGAATTCTTTATCAAGGGGACATCGATCAATTGAACTTGTTCTTACCCACTTGATCTCTCCAAGATTGCCTCTTTAAGTGCAATGAGTTCTTTTCCTCTCTCTTTCTCACATCAGAACTTTGAAAGGTCAATTTCTCCCTACTTTTCTAGGGTATCATTTTATTTTTTCTATTGACCCTTCTTTCAACCACAGGATAAGTCTTTAGCTTGTTCCTTGTTTGACTAAGGTATTCCATAAGACATGAAGGTACAGACATATGCATTCCTCATGCTTACTTGTTTTCCTTGTGCTCTTTGAGCTTTTTCTCATAAAATTACTTACCATTTGGGATGGAGAGAGAGGAGAACTCTTTAAAGATTAGACAAATCTCATTGAAAATCAAGCAAGGAACTGTCGACATGTATGCCAACCCCCTTGACAAGAGTAATTAAGATTGATTAAGGTGAGGTTAACTCTAGATTGCTTGGTTACCTTAGAAATTTTGCTGAGCTAGCATGTCGATCCACTGTAAGAGCTTCTGTTAGGCTTGTGCCTTTAGCTGGTTTCTGCTCTAGGGTCATGGATTGTTAGCATAACACTCTCAATTCTCAAAGCAAGTTCATAACTTCCGGACTGGTTTTTGACTCAATAAAACTTTTTGAAAAACATGAAACAAAGTGAATAAAACATAAGAAAAGAAAGAAAAATGCATTAGTAACACAATAAAACTCCCCCCAGACTTAACTTGCACCGTCCCGGTGAAAGCAAATCACATTAAGGTGAGAGGTAATATTCAAAGTAAAAGAAAAATAAAGAAAAATTCATTAAAATAAGATAGGGATAGAAAATGGAGATTTGTAAGTGTCCATTGCACTAAGTACCACTTGAGATGACTATGTGTGGCAGTGAGAAGAACTCTCTTCCTCATCTATGGGGTCATCGCCTTCTGAACCAAGCTCTGAGTCTAGTGAGAACTCACCAAGGTCAGGCTCATATGGCTCTCTAGCGGTGGAAGAAGGGCGAAAGAGTCTCTCCGGTGCAATGTGGCGAACTACACGACTAGGCGTGAGATGAAGCGAGATTGGCATTCCACTATCTTCTCCAGCTTGTTAACACGGTCTAGAGCTTGATGCGCGGCCATGCCAGTAGTGAGAACATGGCGTTCTTGGACGCGGCGTTGAGTCTTGACTGCATGCTGAAGTGTGCGATAGGTGAGCATGGGGAATGATGGTTTCTCACTTGATGGAACATAGAAGTCTTCCTCATTGGGCTGGAAAGTGACAACTCCTGAGCGTAGGCTTGGGATGTCTTCATGTGGCAGCAAGACAAGGGAAGTGTTGGCTGGACCAATTGGAAACTCATAGCAAAACCGAGTTGGGTCTTTAGTCCAACGGTTTAGGAAGTGGATGTGCTGAAGAGCATGGAGATCCAAAGGGGTTGGCTTGGGTAGTGGCTCATAGTTGGGAATGTCAATCCCCACATGTTGTACTATGGCCGTGATAAGCCTCCCAAAACGAACACAAAGCTTCTTGTTGCCTTCCAAGTCTTTAGCTAGCTTCCTCACATTGATGAATGTCTTGGCAAGTAAAAGTCCAAGGTTGGCCTTGTACTCATGCTTGATGAATGGTGTGGTGAGGATGTAGAACTCATCAGTTGTGACCTTGTTGGCTTCTTGTTTGCATTGGAAAGTGGTGGAGATGAGGCGGTGCACATAGCGAATGGCTGGATGGGTGATTCTAGACACCTTTGACCTTGAAGGCAAGAATGGTTCATTGGCAAAGTGTGTCCAATCAGCAAAGGCAGCTTGTTTCCTCTTTGAGTTCTCCTTGAAGTCATGTGCTGTCTCATTGGGAAGTCCAAAGAGTTGGCATAGAGCTGAGATGGAGATGCGCCCATTGGCATCGCCTATCTTGAAGAGTAGGAGTCCATCACCAGCTGGTTGGTCTCCATTGTGGTTGGGAAAGGCAAGAGCTACTGTGGAGAGGAACTCCTTGGTGAGTGTGAGTACTCACTACACTCTAGCTTGAAGAGCTTGCTCAAGCCTAGCTTCCTTATGTACCATGTGACATCATCTCTTATCTTGAGAAGGTCAAGGGTTTGGGTGTCCATCTTCACACAAGGTTCGATGTTCACCTTCTCCATTGCCTTCTTGCACTTTCTTGGGTCTTGGATTTGTTCTCCAACAAAGGTTACAAGTGCCCAATCATCTTCTTCTCTTCTTGGACTCTCCACATGTTCTTGACTTGCATCAATGGAATGTGGTGAAGTTGGTATTGCTGCTCTTGCATTGGAGCTACTACTCCCTAGCTTGATTTGCTTCTTTGGTGGCTCCATGAATGGGTTCTTCTTCTTCTTCATACTCTCATTTCCTTTTGTCTTTGCCATTGGTGTACCTACAAGAGCAAATTCTTGGGAAGAAATATGAGTTTGTGATTAATGCAAAAGAAGAATAAGCTAATTGAGTTGTAATAATGATATGGAATAATGGAACAACTCAAGGCTTAATCATGAATCAAAGAGACAAAATAGAAATTTCACTTTTTCAAAATTAATTTTCGGATTTTACTGTTCATCCCAAGATTATGGTGCTTAAAATCAAAATTTTCAGCAAATCAAGAGAAATTGAGTTTCTAATCCAAGTAATCACTAGATAAACTAATGAATTGAAGTATGCCCAAGCAATTTCACCTTTGAATAAGGGGTTTGGAATGCCCAATAAGTTTTGTGAAAAACTATTCAATTGTGAAATTAAACTTCAAATTAACTCTAAACCATCTAGGTTCCACCTAGCAAAGTTCATTACAAGACTATAAGGATGCTAATTTCAAGTCTAGACAAGAGTTTAGACCAAAATGAAACTTATTAAGATTTTCGATCTTGCATAAACATAGGATTAGAGTTAGAAGACATACCTTGTGTGTTGAAAAGTGAATAAGGTTGCAAGAGCAAGTAATTCCAATTTAGAGTTATGAACAGTAAAAGTTTTGAAATCAAAACTCTTAGAGTTCCTCTAATGGAGTTTAGGGTTTTGGAGAAGAAAGAGAGGTTCTTGTGGTTTTCAAGGGAAAGGTGAAGTAAATAAGATCTAAATCCTATCAATTTTCCTTTTCAAATTCGAATTTTGATTGAAAACCGGTTTAAGTTGGTTTAGATTGGTTAAAACCGGTTTGAATTTAATGAAATAAAAGGGGACTTACCTTGGCCTAGAAAAGTTTTGGGCCGATGGCCGATGGATTTTGTCGCGGTCGAGCGATTTGGTCGGCCAAATTCGTTTTGGCCGAGAGAATTCGGCCGAGCGAATGTTTCCCGGATCGACCGGCGCGGTCGGTCCGTTCCGATACGAATTCGGCCGACGCGATCGTTTCTTTCCCGGTTCGCGCGTGCGCTCGAACGTTTTCTGTCGCGCAAGTAGAAATATCCGGCCGAGCACGGCTATTCCTTCCCGGCTCGACCGTAACGGTCGGCCAGAATGAGAATTGCTCGGCCAAAATCACCTTTTGCGCGTCCGCGGCCAATGTTTTGGCGCGGATTGTGTTTTCACACCTTTTTCTCCTTCTATCCTATCTTAAAACAAAGAAAACACAAAAGCAAAACAAAAACTAAGAAAATTAAAGAAAGAAAAGTAAAAGTACCTCATGGGTTGCCTCCCATGCAGCGCTTGTTTTAAGTCTTTAGCTTGACTGTAGGGCTTGGCGCTCAGGAGAAGATAGAGACAAGAGGCATCCTTGATCCTCCAAGTCTTTTCTCCTTGCAATGAGTATCTGGTGGGTGATTCACAGCTGGATAGACAATCTCTCCATGAATGTCCCTTGGCACTACTGCCTTAGGAAAAAGCTTTAGAGTTCTTGTCACTCTCTCCTTGAATCCTTCTAGATTCTCATCAATAAGCTCCTCTGGGAATAGAAGCTTCATGTTGG